TACCCTAGTGGCCACATATCTGGATTGAAAGAACGGAGGGTTGTCTGATCTTCTCCCCTGAACTAGTACATGTCTACTTAGGTTAATTAAAAATGGGGTGATGTAATTATAATTAGACTGAAGTGTGAACCTGCATTCTCTAAGTAATTGTAAAACACCATCAGGAATGTAGGTAACACTGCATAGAAACAGTAATACTGTGTATGAATCATACACAATACTACATTAAATTTTAGTGCACTACTACAGCACTCTATGGGATAACCATGGCTGGTGGAGGATAGAAATGAGTGCACACCTTTTCCAAACCCTCCACACAATGATCGTGACAGGGACCAGTAGAGCCACCAGGACCACCACACCTAGCACTGGGACCAACACCCATACCAGTAGCACCTCCTCTCTGTCACTCTCCTCCACTGCTTCTGCAGTCACGACAGATGAAGAGTGTATCACTAAGTACGGTAGTACTTACTATATAGGGATTGACATGGTACCTAGCATCATAGATGTATGGGGCTATGATAGGGAGTTTTGTTCATCATCATCTTCTTCTTCTTCTTCTTCCTCTTCGACCAGCGTAACTCAAAAACCGAAAGAGATAAAGCCATGAAATTTTGTAGGAATGTACATATCGATAACCACATGGGCAACATCATACTTTTTTGTTTGTAAACAATATTGTTTACTGTAAACAACAACAACATTGCCCCAGGCAATACATTATAATGGGCAATACGTTATAATGGGCTACTACATGTGTCAGTGTAACTCACAATTGGTAAGAGTTATGCAAGCGAAAGTTTGTATACACAATGTATTCAATAGCCAACATCAAAATCCCAACAATACATGTTTGTAAATAACAACAAATAGCCTCAGGCACTTTTCTTTAAATTAACTTCTTCACTTCTCAAACTTTCCAATGGTAGCACACATAGAGATGAAACTCGGTACGTATGCCTATTATATCATTTCCATGACGATTACATGTTTCCATGACGACCGCATATTGTTCGAAAAGGCCTCAGGCAATTTTCTTTAAATTACTTCTTCACTCCTCAAACTTGCTAATTGTAGCACGCATGGAGGTGAAACTTGGTGCGCATGTGTATTACATCGTTTCCTTGACGATCACAACAACAAATAGCCTCAGGCACTTTTCTTTAAAATTACTTCTTCACTCCTCAAACTCGCTAACAGTATCACGCATGGAGATGAAACTTGGTGCGCATGTGTATTACATCGTTTCCTTGACGATCACAACAACAAATAGCCTCAGGCACTTTTCTTTAAAATTACTTCTTCACTCCTCAAACTCGCTAACAGTATCACACATGGAGATGAAACTTGGTGCGCATGTGTATTACATCGTTTCCATGACGACCACAAGATGCAGCACGAACTCCAACAAAGTGCAGCAGGGCCAGTGGGTACACCCAGGTACGAAAGGAGTGTCGAGTGCCACCTCGTAGTATACAACTAAAAGCAAAAAAGGTCATGATGAAATGCAGACAATTTGGCAAAGGTTACCTTCGATATAAAATGAGTAGCTGTGTCCCCAAATCCGCAAATACAAGTTGGTAGCAGCAGGGGCCAGTAGAATACAGAGATATAGGAGTATAATACACATAATACAGGATGATGTACAGTACTATTCGTCATACGTAACTACACTTACCTCTGAACAAAAAGGGCGTGGCACGAAGACAAAAATAGCAGCCACGGCGGATAATACAGACACGGAGTGCCGTAGGGAACCTATAAAGAAAATTCCCAATGTGAGCTGGATTGTGTACACAATAGTTCCTTCTTACCAACAAGACTGATAGAGAAAAGAAATTGGTGGTAAATAGACTCGGGAGCACAGTGGAAAACCCGGGCAAAACGTAAAGTTCACTGGCATAAACAACGAGGCAAACAGAGCTCAATGACGAGAGCGAGAAGCCACGACGACCACGCGGTCTATATGAGCGCGTAAGCGCACGCGCAAGTGGGTGGGGTCTTGCGGGGCCGCAGATCTCTCGCCGGCGCGCCTCCAACCGAGAAAATGGCGTAGTTTTCTGTCTGCTGTCATTGTCCTGCAGTATATTTCATAGCGCTTGGCGGAAATCAAATAATGATCGCTTCAAGACGATGCACATCTTCACCATCGCGGGACACGTTCAGTGAAAAATGTTGAATTCATTTGGACCATGATTAAACCCGCTATTTCCTTACCAGTACCTGTTCAAGCACTGATTTTTTCACTAAAGGTCTCCAATTTCGCCGGAGGTGTGCACGGACATCAAGCGATCGTTTCTTTCTTGCCGCTAGTCACTACGGTAGATCATGGAGCTCTTCCATGGTCGACCTGAACAACACCATTTGCTGCTAACTCAGCATCAGTGAGCCGCGCGCATGCGCCAGGCATGGGCGTTGTCCAATGAGCTTGCGAGCGTATTACCAGGTGAGTTGGCAGACCTGCAGAGGAACCCAGTACCTTCTGTAAGTGAGTGTGCACATTTCCAACTGGCTAGCTTGCTGTTTATTTGCACGAAGAGCAACTTGGCAGAGTCTGAGCGGTGTTACGCGAGCCTTGCGGGGCACTCAGTCAAATGGACCTTCATTGTTTCCCCCCCCCCAGGTTGTAGCCTGATTACCAAAGCCTGCCCATGAAACCGCAACCATGTGCAAATTCTAATTGCATCCTTTTTGAAGACGGTATCTAGCCCCTGCTTCAGGCACTAGCAGCTACTACTTTCAACAGGTCTATGGTAGCCTATCTACAACATGCCCTGAACATCAGAGTGACTGTAATAACTGTTAATTCAACAAGGTGCCACACACGTTCTTAAAACCATCCACGGGAAACTAACACACTGTTACCCACAATGTAACTATTACGATATTTCTGTAGCATAGAAGGTTATTGGTGACAGAAAAAAGGGATTAGGCATGTTTTTTAAACTGTGTTAACCAAATATGGCTCCTTCTGGACTTGTAGAATGGTTATTTACGCGAAAAAAATGAGAGCCTTAAAGCAAATAATTTGACAGGCAAAATAACCGAAGATAATGTTATGTACAATTATCTGAATATCAAAAAGAGTTATAATTATTTTATTGCCGTTTGCTTTTTCAGAGCACAAAACTCAGATAACCAAGTAGTTGAACTGCAAAAAAGAATGATCAATAATTCAGTTCCATGTAGTGAAATAAACTGCGATAGATCTTTGAGGAATGGAAATTTATTTGAATTTCTAAAGTCATTGATGGGAATATTACCTGAGGCTCTAACAGCTACATGTGATTTCGTATGTGCTGCTCACTATGCAGAACCGGCACAGGAGGCCTATGACACAGAATGTTACCATCTGGCAATATGGGCCGGGGAGCAGAGCTGTGCGTACATTGATAAACTGGGAGAGCCCTATGCAGCTTTTAAATTTGAACTGAAGTATATTGTTGGTAGAAGCTACTATGAGATTGGAAGCAATCATTCTGCAACACAGATCTCACTTCAGCAGGCTGTAAAGCATATCAATGATGCCATCAGATTAAACTACTTCTCTTTCAAGTTGAGAGTAACAAGGATAGAGTTATGCAGTTATATCATACGAATGAATTGGGTATGTAATCCACTATTCTACATCCATTATATTAACGACGTTACACTTAAAATTGTAATTGTATTGGCAATCGCTTGTGCAAAAGTGCCATTTTTATTCTGGGAAACCTTTTTTCAGCGAGAGGAAAGTTTTCTAAGCACAGATAATGGTCTTACAGAACATAAATGTTCCTTCATTTGGTCTCAATTTGATGAATTTTACAGTTACAAAATTGCAGTGGATTAATTGTTGTATTTCACTTTGTGTTACTATGTTTCGGGACTTTAATTGTATATTATGGATACTTTCTGTGTTTTTACAATTATATTTTACCATACATTATCCGTAGAAAGTATTTTATTCTACGTATAGCATTAATTATGATTATCACTGATTGGTTGTAAAAATTGTTAAAAATTGTTAAATGTTTTTGTCTAAAATAACGAGTTTCTCTGTTCTTCCTCTGAACTCTTAACACTAAGTGTGTGAGATGCCACTGACCATCTGTGAACACTGCAGTAGACCTCCTTCTCCCTGACACTGGGATCATCGCCTATATACCATGTCCTGAAAGCGCATGCTGATTCTGCATGCATGCGTTCATGACAGGTGTTGATCCCAGTATATACAAGGGAGGAGTGCAGGTCAACTGAGGTGTACATGTGCCAATGTGCCAAGAAACACACCAGAAAAGGATGGGCCGAGATTTCTACCTCTGCACAGAGAGTCTGAGCCCTGTGAAACATCTCTCTGGGATATGGGCAGGAGAGAGTGTGCCCCAAGCTGAACACCTGGTACTTTAGACCCATGTATATAGCTACCACTTTTGAATCAGTATCCAAAGTATGCCCACATCATACAGTTGACAAAGAAACACTCCACACTCCTGACTCAAAAGCTTTTTCTGTAGTGAGAGATCAATTCTGTAATGCTTGGCCGATTCCTGCGGTGCTTAACCTGCGTCAGCACATGCGGTATACAGTGGAACCTCCGATAAGGGACCCTCCGACATAGGGACGACCTCTCTATAAAGGACACTTGTTTCAACTCCATGCTAATACTTTAGTGTATTATTTGACCTCCGAGATAGGGACAACTTCTCTACAAGGGACCAAAAACGTTGGCCCCATAGTGTCCCTTGTTCAGAGGTTCCACTGTACTTGCAGTAACCTGATTGGTTTGCATGAGGAATACCTAGCTGTTCTAAGTGTGGTCCTAGCCTTGCAAGTACATATTACCAATATATGACTGGTGTAGCTAACAGGTAGCTATACCTCTATAGCTTCCTCAACCCTGGTTGACGTCCGAATTAGAACCACGCGCATGCGCATTGAAGGGGCATGTTCATGCGCGCGTCACACACACACGTACGTCTGTGTGTGTGTACTGTACTGTAGATGCGCAAAGAGCCCCGCCCCCTACGTGTTCAGACCAGCCCCACCCCGTTCTAGAGACAAACGTTCGCTTGCTGCTCTCGTCCACAGACCATAAAGAATGGCGACTGGTAGGAGATCTCTTCTTATAGTCTGTAGCCTATGTAATGGTCAGCACTTTGCTATCCTACAGCAGGTACTACACCAGACTTCCTAGACAAACGATTGCTGCAAGATGATGTTCCAGAGATAGTTGAAAACATACTGGATGCCCAAACTAAATCAGAGCTGTTAGGTCGTGTACTCAAGTTGTCACCATCCAGGGTGTCTGGAATTCATAAGCAGTACAAGGATCCAGAAGAGTGCCTGTTTCATGTCATTGACGAGTTTGTGAAACAAGTGGACCCCATGACCTACTTGGAGAGTCATTATAACTGCCCTGAGGCGCCGCACTATTCGACTAACTGGTTTGGCAGATGAGATCGAAAGTAAATATTGTCCCCCAACAATATGTGGTACGTATAACTGGTCAAAAATTGTTGTTGCTTGCTATCTTACCTTACTAAGGACAATTTTGACAAAAACCTCAGGCCAATTATGTTTGGACTGTACTTATATACTACTTGATTCAACTATACACACGTGTGGACTTTATTTTGTCCCTGATAGTCAGTGTCAAAAAGTACCTCTCGGTAGCAAAGTGCAAAAATTTTGTGGCTTTTTCGTTTGGCAATAGGCTTGCCTTAGCATCACAGTAATACAAGCTATAACATGCTGATAGGCACTAGTGATACGCTAACCAAACTAAACTGTGTCTTGCAAACAGGACATATACTTTAGAAATGCTGACGTTGATTGGTATTCACAACAGGTATCTGCATGACACAGTGTATGTCTGAATAAGTTGACCTTTATCACTCCCTTTAGATGAGTCCAAGAATACAACAAACAGTGGCTCTACATCTGAAACACACCATCAGGGTGAATATATCAAACTTTGTGTAATGTGTTGGATTAATATTTCCTATCCAGATTGGCTGACGTCTTGGAAAACCATACTCATTGTTGAGTGTCTATTTTGATCATGTTACTAGCTGTGGCGTGGTCTAACACAGTCTGGTACCAGCTAGGACTCTGCCACTCAAAGAGTCTGCCATATGTGAATCATTTTGTTGGTCGAGAGGAAGACATTCGCAACATCACTGGCTACCTTGACTTCTACACCTCATATGTTCAGGTAGTTCACATTGTTGGACCTCCTGGGTTCGGTAAATCCACTCTGGCCATAAAAATTGGAGAGATATACTTACAGAAATGTGTCAGTGTTCATTATGTAGACGTTGGGCAAAAAATGGTTAAAGATATAGATACTCTCGCTGAGAAGATTGTACTCAGTATGGTCGAGTCCAGTAAGACTAAGGTAACATTCAGTGATTTGGAGGATAAGATACACAAACAATATTCAAAAGCATTAATAATACTAGACAACTGTGATGAGATTTTGGAGCATTCAAAGGAGGAATTTCTGAGTGCATTAAAGTCATTAACTGCTCTGTCCCAAAGAAGTGTGAGGTATCTTATTACTAGCCAAAAATGGGTAGCTGACATTGGCAACTTTCGACTCCATGCCATTTACAGCCTCTCATCTGAAGCAGCTATTCAAATGTTGGGTGAAGTAGCTCCTAGTTTAACAGATTATCAGAAAAAGCAAATAGTCGATCTGACAGGAAACGTTCCACTAGCACTGGAAGTTATTGGAGCCATCTTTAGGTTTCCAGATGCTCACACACCTGAAATTGTGATAAATGGCCTGAAAGAACATCTACTTGATACTCTAAGTCCTACTGAGCTACATTCCACGGTTGATGTGTCCATTCGTATAGCTTATAGCTACCTTTCTCCTGACCTGAAGCAGTTATGTGTAAACTTGTCCCACATTAGAGGGAGTTTTGATGAAACAAGTACTTACTTCTTGTTTGACATTGATACGGATATCAGACCCGGCCTTGCTAACCTTGTGCAGAGATCTCTTCTTCAAACTAGTCGTGGGAGACAGAGATACCACTTTCACCAACTAATTAAAGCATTCTTTCTTAGTCAAGAGAATCGGACTTCATTTCAACAACATTTTGATACTCAGTTTCAGTCATATTTTACTGGCGTTCTTCAGAGCATTACTGATGGCTTTAAGCTAACTAGGTTTGATGAGGAAAAACAGAATATTTGGCACATGTTTAGTTTGTTTAAAAGAGCCAAAAACAAGACTGTTAATTTCAATGGAATTAGAACAACATTGCAAGCCATAGAATTGAATGTACTGCAATCAAGATTTCTACCTGTGGAAATAAATAGCATTTCTCAAGACATGCTAGCTGTGCTAGATTCATACACACCCCGTGAACAAGCGATGGTAAACTCATTTCTTGATACATATATTAAGGTAGTGGAGCTTGTTGCTAAGCAACAGTGGCCTATACGTCAAGCAGATGCAATCAAAACATTAACCTCAAGGGCGGAAAAAGTCAATAAGGGTTATAAATCTGGTAGAATAGGAGTTGCCACATTCACAAAATTCTACAGTTTGTTGATACAGTACTATGAAGAGAATGGGGATACTGTTAATTCAGCAAGGTGCCACACACATGTTCTCAAAACCATTCATGGACAACTGAGGCACTGTTACCCAGTCTGTGACTATTACGATATTTCTATTGCATATGAGAACATACGGAATAGAACACAGGCCTTTCATTTCCGAGAGCTTGCATACAAATATCAGTTTCGTTCTTTGCATTTATCGAAACAAGCAATGCTCCTTTTTTACTTACACGAGGACTATTTACGCAATAATGACAGCACTATGGCAAATGAGGTATCAGTCATGATAACAGATGAAGTGTATCCTTACCTGATGGCTAAGGGCGAAAATAAGTACATAAAAGAACTGTTTTATGCTGCTGTTTACTTTTTCAGAGCACAAGAACAAAAAGTGATTAATCTACAAAAAAGAATGATTGAAAATACACGTCCATGCAGTGAAAATAACTGTGCTATACCTCTAGGACAGGGAGGACTTTTGGAAGACTACAAGTTATTAACACAAGCATATTATTTGACAGAAGACAGTCTAATGGCTAGATGTGAATTCAAATGTGCTGTGTATTATGCAGACTTGGCACAGGAGGCCTATGACAATGAGTGTTACTATCTGGCAATATGGGCAGGAAAACAGAGCTGTGCGTACATTGATAAACTGGGAAGGCCTTACACAGTTCTTAAGCTTGGACCAGAATCTATTATTGGTAAAAGCCACTACGAGATGGGGAGCAATTATTTTGCAGGATGGAAACAGGTTTTACAGCTCTTTAAAGCGTTCCGTCAGAATCAACTACTTCTCTTCTTTTTCAAAGTACTGGACAGGCTGAACATAAATATTCCTTCTTTTTGGTCCCAAGTTGTTGAATTTTATCTGAAGACAGTGCACACAATAACGTTATTACAAGCAGTGGATAACCACCATAAACCAATGGATGATCACTGCATTTTACTCTCTATTACTGGTGTTTGGGACTGTAATGTTCTATAGTGGATACACTCTGGGTTTTGTATTATCTTGTAAAATGTATTATCCGTAAAAGAGTTCTATATGCTATTCTATTTATAGCATTCATTATAATTATCCATGATTGGATGTAAACATTATCTTGATTTGTCTATAATAACGAGTTTCTCTGTTCTTCCTCTGAACTCTAACACTAAGTCTGTGAGATGCCACTGACCATCTCTGAATACTGCGGTAGACCTCAGTTGACCTGCACTCCTTCTTCCTGATACTGGGATCATCACCTGTCATGAATGCATGCATGCATAAGCATTGATACACAAAGAGTACAAAATTAAAGCATTATTTTTTAGCAGTTGGACCGTGTAACAATTCACATACATAAGATACTAAAGTTACAAAGCTACCAGAGGTACTGGGAGTAGCTATAATAATAGTAGTGAAAATTCAGGATGATTTGTACTCACAACATTAGAACACCCTTTACGTTTACTCATACAACATTTCTGTAGACCTACAACATACATGAGCTTCTTCGGTGGTGACCCAGTTCTGTTGGTTCCCAAGTCTGAGTGTCTGGAATCGCAGGGGCTCACCCAGCAGTCTGCATGCCACCTGGTGCTGTCTGAGAGCCACTATTGACTGCTGGTAGTACGGAGACCTGGCAAAATTCCCTGGGGACATAATATGGGATCTGTAGGAGGTGTAGCTAGCATGTTCATCAGGGTCGATGCTCACGTTGAATGAGGTAGTACAGAACTGAACAGCCAGTGGCAGAGAGAACAGCTCCATAGAGAGCTGCCTTCTTCAAACTCTCCAAGGACACTCGCTGCAGCATCTGAGTGAGTGGGCGTGGTTTATACGGGGCGTGGTGGAATTACGCAATTACATAGCAAAGATAACGACGGTCAATCACAAAGTCGTTTACCAGTAAGCTAGCTTAGCTAGGACGGGGAGAAATAATGCCGCTCAAGAACGTGCACTACCAGAAGGTAGAGACGGAGGAGAGCGACTTGGAAGAGGACGAGCTCCCTCCGTCACACGTCAAACTTCAGGGCACCAACCACGTCAAGGGTAAGTCGAGTGGCGGTGGCGACGTTTATCTTTTGAAATTCTCCTGTTTCTCTGGTGTACGCTCATTCTTCGCTCTACTGTGGTCTGTAGGTGACAGATGGAACCACATAGACAATTTGGACGAGTTCTTTGAAAGAGTAAGTTTCAACACACGGCTAGAAAAGTTGTGTGTACTGTATGTGAGAGAGGCATTGTTTAGCAGCGAAAGCGTCTGGCGTTGTCTACAGGTGTACCAGTACCACCAGAACCATGGACTGTGGGCCATTACACTCTCAGACATCATGGAACTATTGTAAGAACACTAATAATGTTTTTTTACACATCTGTATTACATACAGCTTAGATTACATACCTGCTGATATTTTCTCTACATCCTCCCTCCCTCCCTCCCATCCTCGCTCGCTCCCTCCCTCCCTCCCTCCCATCCTCGCTCCATCCCTCCCTCCCGTCCTCGCTCGCTCCCTCATCCTTCTCTTTCTCCCTCCCTAAATATAGCCAATTCCTGTTCATCGTGTGTTTCTCTGTGTTCATTGTGACGTGTCTGCGGTTCAACCGACTGTTTCTGGACAAGATCACCTATGTCAAGGATAACACCACCAACGAGAGAGACGTCATGTTTGGAGACTTATTCGACCAGACAAGACTACTCCAGTAAGTTCTTAAACCTCACCAGACATATTTCATTTAAATTACACTGCTACGTAATATACCTAGCCTATTGGGACGGTTTTTCTTGCCGTCCATGACACTTACAGGAAGATTTGATTACTGAAACTTCCTAGAAAGTATTACTACATTGTACATGAAAGTTCATGAGCTAATGTATGAATTACCACCTTCCTCTGAACTTGCATGATTCCCTCTTATTTCCTACCATTCCTACCATACGCTGTGCCTCTTTGTGCATAGTAGTATGTATATACCCTCCTTCTGCTCACTTTTCCTCAAGATTCCCTCTCCTTTACTACTATTGTATGCCACACAAACAGACCGATTCCTTCCTCTTTGTACACGTTGTAGTGTCTGCCTTACCTCTTTGTATGTACGTTATCATGCCCTCTTCTCCTCCAGTATGTCGGCACTTCTGGTGTTTGTTCTACTGGTGGCTCTGTCATTCTGGCTGCACAGAGTCTACCTGACAGCAAGACGTTTCCTGCAGTTCTGGGAGATACGGAACTTCTACCACCATGCCCTCGGAATATCCACTGTTAGTGTATATACCCAGTCCTAAACTCTCTCTCTCCCTCCATCCCTCCCTCCATCTCTCCCTCTCCCTCTCTCCATGCATGGACCCCACCACTTTGGTAGGGATATCCCCACTACAGAAAGTACAGTACAACACTATATTCCATAGTTGGGTGACTGCATTTCATGAATACTGTCTGCCAAATTTATAACAGACTCAAACAAACTGACTCAGCAACTGACATTTTATACATGGTCATGAATATGAGTTGGTATAGTCGATCGACATTCCAAGATTTCACGAGGTGCCCTTCAATGCTCTATCCCTCTGCACACTTGTCACACTCTTTACTTTGTAGGGAGAAATTGTGTGGTCCCACTGACATAGTGTTTTGTTTAATCGCGCCCTCAGTTATACGTACGTAGCATGTAATTGAGCATGCAGAAGTACACATATGACCAGTGCGCTATGCTATGCTTCTATAGAAGTTAATGCATAAACCAATCGTACATCCACATTATTTTGCCCCTTGGTAGTCAGAGAGTGCTAACAAAACACTCAACGTCAGAAGGAAGAAGATAGAGCGACGCGGACGACGCTACGCGCGAGCGAAACGCGCGCGCGCGCGACGCGAACGCGCGCGCGAGCATATAGACGCGAGAAACAGCGCGCGCAGCACGACTGCGCCCTCCGCTCACTCTCGCATCAGCGCGTCGCGCGCGCTCGCATCGCGAATCTCTCCCTCTCCCTCTAGCTACTCTGTCCGATCATCCCTGCGCCCGTCTACCTCCACTCCCCAACAGTCTCAGATGCGCAACGTGACAATGGGCAGAGATTCTGGTGAGGCTGGAACAACAGCCCAGAAAGATCACTAAAATGAACATACAGAATAAGCAGGACTAACCGAACGGTACGTGCATGACAGCTCACAGGTCACACTCGCTCACACGTTTTGCTCTAGCCTCTTATAACTGTGATACTCGTTGGATATGTTCATCGATTCGGTGATGAGAAACTATAATAACTAGACTGACTCTATACCATGTACTGTAGCAGGAACTTGTGGACCGATACCTATATACGAAAACCTGACTGTAGAAAACTTTCACATAAGTTTGTCCCTGTCGCATAATTTGAACTTCAGTTCCCTACTGATGTGGACTTGCCACTGTCTGAGATGCTCATTAGCACTGTTAGGCTCTCATATCTACCCTAGACCTGTAGGTGGACTAGAGGTCACCTTTAGTTCTAGTCTCACTCACCATGGGCATGCAGTATCCTCTGTTCACCCTCACTGCAGATGTGTACCATCGCACTCCTGAGGTCTCAGAACTATCTGTGCCATGATCAACAAAATCCTCCCCTGCCAAAAATACATTCCCCTTCTATGGAGAGAAGTATGTAAGAGATAGGAGGGAGGGATGGTTACCGTGTGCAGGGTACCATGTCATATCTGGGAGGGAGGATAACCATGTACAGTGGAACTCCTCTAATCCGGATAGCCAATGGGACAGGAAAATATGTCATTTTAGTGAAGTTTCCTGTTTCGCAATTCTGGGTAAATGCACGGGAGAAAACTGGCATTGTACTAGAGAAGCGTCTTATAAGAGTGTGCTTTCAGAGAGGGGTTCCCACTAGTACATACATATACATACATATACTGTACATATGTAGCAGTCAAAGGGATCAGGATTTAAGCGATTGTTGTACATGTACAATAGTTAGCAGCTGTTTTAGTGACTCGTGTTGTTTGTTCAGGGTTTTCATTCACACATGACTAAAGCTCATACGAACTTCTGCTCTTCTGTGAGTTGCTGCAATCACAATATACTATTAACGGTATGCTGAACATATTGTCTCTCTCTCTCTCTGGTGTACAGGGGACAGGAGCCCCATTCAGAAACAGTTTCTACCTCCACGAAGACTACAGTATGCCTCCAGAAGAAGTGTACACACTGAGCATCAGACCATGCATCATGCATTCACTGTTCTTGCAGTATGAACTGATTTCAAAGTGATGTGTACACGTTCTACCCACTGCACGACGTCACTCTTATCTATTGCACTGCCCTCTCTCCCCCCTCTCTTCACAACTGAGGTTCCGGATAGGGCTGCATGCTCTGCTGAATCTCCTGTTCGTCCAGTCATTTTCCTCTACCAAATCCTCTTCTCCTTCTTCCACTATGCCAGTATGTAGTGGTGATGAGTACTGAGTATACACAAGGCATTATCACGTGCCCTGTACATGTAGTGTAATAATACACCTGTGGAATTGCCCTTGAACTGACACTATGTAATACAGTACAATTACTTACTAGTGCAGTTCTCAGTAATGTGTCTGTTGTAGCATGACACACTGCAATGTAAAACACAGTAAGTAGTTGTAGTACATACAAAGCAACTTAAAGTTGTTATCATATGTACATACTCTATATTTCAGATTCTAAAGAGGCATCCAGGCGTTTTTGGCAAGAGAAGATGGTGAGTTTGACATACAGCTATGTGCTTACTATGAATGACATCATTATGACATCATACTCTTTTGCAAGGTCGCTCTATGGCAGATATCATCTCAGAGACTTCAATGAACTGGACCATGAACTGGCACTCAGGTATATAGTTGACCTGTATATGTACAGTCAATATTCATTGGCATTATAAGCACCTCCGGAACTGTGAACTATGGACTACAGCTACACATGCAGGAGTCCCTGATGTCTATGAATATCAATACTCAAATCCCCAACAAAATCCCAACTAACATAGCCGGCACTCGTTAGTTTTTCTAATGTGACAATTTATTTGTCCTGCTTATGAAAATTCTCTGCTTTTGAGACAATCCTAAACGATTTGCCGCTTAACAACTAGAGACCAAGTAAAAGATTGCCAGAAACTGCCTGGGTGTCCCTCTGCTATGCAATCACCAGTGTGTTATCATTAGTGTGGTCTGGTCTACCGTCCAGGTTGAATCGAGCGCTACACATCCCTCGTGAAGTACATGGACCTACGTCTCACCCACCCATAGTGATCCATAGTAGGCCAGAACGTCGCGTTTGTGGCGGCTCGTCCTGGCCGTGCTCCTGTGATCTCTGTGACACTGTCATTCAGGAGGACCTCTCACCGCTCACAACTTCCTCCTCACATTCATCACTCAGTTCTTGGTCAGAGTACCAAAAATGTATAGCTGCTAAAACCCACTGTCTTCACGGTGGGGCTCCCGTAGTGTATAGTCATTAGAAATGCTTAATGTGCAGGATCAGTATAAGAGCTAATGATGCAATAAAGTAAAGTAACAAGAGACAGGTGGGGAGGACACGTGATAGGTAAACGGATGTGGAAACACGTGTAATCTAAATGTGAACTAAGTACTGGTACGAAGTGCATTCCTTGCGTCTTAACTCCAATGTAAGCCTTTTTGTACATGGTTACTATATGAACACAGTGGAGATGTGAGTGGTAGTGGTCGTATGTAATGTAGCAATTAACTAACCTTTCTGCTAATATCCCAGTTCTTAGTGCCTGTGTAACATTACACTTACTTGTCTATTGTATATGTTCGTAATTATGTATGTTTTCCTATACAAGGTATTTTGTGACTGCCTGCCGAGTATTCATACCAGATTAGTTTGTATGTAGGCTTACTGTCACTAATCATGCATTACATCACCTTTTAATGTTTAGGTCGATACAATTATTTGACTAATTACTGTAGCTAGAACGTAAGGTGACTTGCGTTGTACGCACGTGCCGAGAGCGAACAACAGACGTTGCTATATAGTCCCCGTTACTTCCTTCGTGCTGCTGTTTTGGTTTTCACACGTGAACAATTACGCAAAACAACACAAAAACAACACCAAAACAAAGAAAGTCAACTAGTCCATCAAGGAAGGAGGGAGTGCCTACTCAATTTCACCGTGCAATACGCGAAGAAATTTTTTAGTGCTCTAGGGAGTAATCCAATCTTCCTCTTGTTTCTGAAGGTAAATAATGTAAGATCCCCCAGTGTCCAAAGTTACCCCAACCTGCACCTTACAACTGTAGTTTCAAACCCTCCTCCCCCCGAGTTTGGATAAAGTCCTACAACGTTTGGTTCTTCCATTCCAGACCCAGTATGGTCCCTTCGGAGCTGATGCACGAGATCCGGGGAGATCCACTACAGCCAGAGGTGGAAAGCATACCGCACACTGGGAGGTGTACAAGGAGTACACTCAGCTCTTCCAGTTCACTCTGGCAGTCCGGATTGACTCACACTGAATGTGGCCATAGAGAAGATTTGCTCTAATTTTATTTCATGGTCTATAAATTGTAAGACAACTTATGTATTGCGGTGAAGTTGTGAACGTATGAAAAATGATAGCCATTTTTCAGTCTGTACATGTACATATACCTGTTGAGCCTTGTCCAGGCCTTCTAGGGCTCCATTATTTTGGTGTGCATGAGTTTGTGCTTCGTGCAGCTTGCCTCACCAATTCAGGCATTTTTCTCTTAACCATTGTATATAGTGCACAATCTTAGTTGTAGGTGCTGATAGAGCCACCTGTATGTTATGTTGCAGTGCCCTGACATGACAGCAGAGGTGCCGAATGCTGTCCCTGTCTGGGTACTGCTTGATAATATGAACCCGCTTGCACATGTCGGATTGTATGGCTGATACAATCCCCCAGTACCCTAGCTCATACATGTCGGTTGCCTAGGGATATCCAACAAACATTATACACATACGTCCACCAGTGATCCCTATAACACCTGCTACCATGTTGCACATCCTATCATGGTATTTTCTATACATGTAAACCCATATTTACAATCCCTGTTTTGCCTTTGCCTTGTGTTGTGTTTGTTGTTGGAGAATTCGAACCCCTACCAGCTGCGTTTGCCCGTGTACCCCGGGAGGCCCGCCCGGAGGAGCCCCCCCTCAGCTCATTGGTAAGTTCTCACCTAGATACAGAGTGTCGGGGTCCACTATAGGACAGCTCTTCTTTGCAGAGAATGAGCTTTGTCCTGGGTGCAGCCTTTATATTTGTTTTGCTTTTGCCTTGCTACCTCATTGTTGTCACATGGTAATGTCATCCTATCATGCTGTCAGATGTCTCCTGGACTAGATGTTTGTCCATGGTGACACCGTTCATCCTGTAACCTCTCCCCTGGGAAGAGGGCTCCTCGATTGTCCGATTCCCCTCTGAACTTCACCATCGACGGTGTCTGGAGTGGATACGTCTCTCCTTGGCCGAGATGACGTCAAGAAAACACGGCAACTCTGAGGTGAGATATACTCTACAGTGGAACCTACGAACAGGGGAGGATATGAGGCAACGCTTTTGTCCGTTGTAGAGAGTCGTCCGCTATCTAGGAGGTCAATAATATATTACACTAAAGTACTAGAGCACGGGGTTGAAACCATGTCCTTTGTAAAGAGGTTTTGTCCCTAGCTCAGAGGCCCCTTATGGGGGTTCCACTTAGTACTATATTACATACAAGTCCTCTGTTTGCCTACTTGTTCACTTACTCGTGTCACTCTCTCCCTTATGTCAGTTGGCTACTCCATGATGACCAGTGCAGGGGACTAGAGAAGGCAGAACTTGGCAAGACTGAGATCTCTCTCGTCCATTCTCTGGAGTTACCTCTCCACCTATCCACATGTCTCCAACACCATTACAGTTGGAAACCTCTGAACAAGGGACACTATGGGGGCCATTGATTTTGTCCCTGTAGA